ATCCTCCTGCCTCAGCCTCCTGAATGCTGGGATTACAGGCGTGTGCCACCACACCTGGCTGACTTTGTTCTTAACTGATAGAGATTAATTTCTTCACTGAAACAACCTCTTTGCATAGCTAAGCACTTCCAACGATGCCAACACTTATTTCCATGACTTTTCACTTTTATTTTTCTTCTATGTGACAATTAAAATGCTTTTTCTTTCTGTGTACTACTCATCAATATCTGAACTATAAAGTGCCATTTCTCTTTTTAGTTATTATGACAAACATCAAAGCTCCTTTTCAAAGCCCTCTTTGAAGGTTATAAGGTTTTAGAAAATTAGGAAGATTCATTCAGCTTGAGCACTAAATATTCACCATCTTTATTTTTCTACTACTGAACGCATAGCTTTCAGCAGTTGAACAAAGTTTCATTTTCTGTTTCTTTTTTTTTAATTTTTTAGTTTTTCTCCGGTACCGGGAACCGAACTCACGACCTTGCGCTTGCCAGGCAGGTTCTTTGCCGCTGAGCTAAATCCCCAGCCCCCCATTTTCTGTTTCTTAAGGAGAAAAAAATCACAGTCAAGAATTCAGGAAGTAGCCAGGCGTGGTAGCACATGCCTGTAATCCCAGCAGGGAGGTAAAAGTAGAGAAGGGTCACAAGTTCGAGCCCACTCTGGGCAATTTAGTGATTTAGGGAGACCCATCTCAAAAACAAACGAGGTGAGGGATAGGCTGAGTATGTAGCTCAGTGCAAAGGCCCTGGGTTCTATCGCCGGTACCACCAAAATTTAAAAAACAAAAAAGTTTAATTTCCCTGAACTGTATACCTAAGGATGTTTAAACTATAGAGACAAATATAATGAAATGCTCTGCAAGCATTAACAAGAATGTAGAGAGTCATATGAACTAACAAGAAAATTTATAATTAAATTTTTCTATAACCCCAGTACTCTGGGAGGCTGAGGCAAGAAGATAGCAACTTTGAGCCCATCTTGGGCAATGTAGAGACTTAGTGAGAGCCAGAGAACTTAAAACCGCCTTAGAATAAAAACAGCTGGAGATGTAGCTGAGTGCACAGACCGTGCCACCAAAAGAAAGTACGCTAGTACCACCAAAACACAACAAAGTCAGGAAGGCGACGAAGGCGGGTATATTTCAACATTAGGAATATAGAACACCAGCCAGCGAACTAGTTCATATGGTCTAGGCTCATCTTCAGAACAGGATGTCTCTTATTTGCCTAGAAACGTTCAGCTATTTGTGGACTTGTCAAAAGGTTAGTGACAGTACTGGACCTCTGTAGAAGGATTTTAACTTTCAGAATATTTCACATCATTAATTGCAGCCTTGCTGCATTCCAGTGGTGAGCAAGTCAGGAAGTGCTTCTCCTCTTTTGCTATGTCTATAAACTGAGACAAAGTAGAGATGAGTGTCGTTAATCCCACAGAAACATAACGGCAGCCGCCGGTCTATGGCACGTCCGGCCACGTTACTGAGAGTCTGTTATGTGCCGGCCTGCGCCCGAAGCTGTGAGGATCACAAAGGCGTCTAGGAAATGGACCCAGCCCCACAGCGTGAGTCCGCGGTGGAGCTTCAGCATCACTTTGTGCCAGCTGCTTTACACACACCTGTTTATTCAGTCACATCTGTCCACCTAGACATAACTTTTCAGCATCAACGCTGAAAGAAATGAAATTCAAAAGACCCTAGAAGCTTCCAGAGAGAGGGGAAAGGTCATATACAAGGCTCAGGAACCAGAACAGCATCAACAGCAGAAGTCACACACCACAGCCTGCAAAATCTGCCAGGAAATTACTTACAGCCCTATTCGCTATCCAGTGAAACCACCAATAAGTTGAAGTGTAAAGAATATCCATACATGCAAAGACCAAAAACCTTATGCATGAGTTACCCTTTCTTAGAAGCTTCAAGAACGTACACTGCAGCAAAACAAAAGCATAAACCAAGAAAGAAGCAGCCAGAGCAGCCAGGAGGCACGGGAGCAGGCAGGGCAGACCTCTAGGTGACAGTGTTGCCGAGCTTGAGAGCTTTTAGTTTTTAACGGTAACAGCCCGTTTCGGCACACTGGCCGTAGGTTCACCACCAACCACAGTGAGGAGGGCCGAACTGCAGACCAAGACAGTAGCCAGTGAGGAGCGGAGCGGGCGGAGACGGGGCTCTGTCCCGGTGTCTGCAGGCGGGACGCAGCTCTCTGCTCAGGCTTCACAGGGGAGGCGGCGCAGGCCGTGTAAATGTCGGGGAAGGGGGACCGGCAGAGCAGCAGCTCCAGGAGCTTGAATTTGTGAAACTGCTCGTGTAATCTCCGCTCCAGGACGCATGGAATGTTGTCTGCGTTACAGAGTTCACTCTAGGATGTCTAATTGAAGGACCCCAGAGTGAGAACTGGACCGATGCCCAGTTTCTCATCAGCACCTCGGGGTTCTAGAAACCAGTAGGGTCATCACTCCAAAGTTCTTAGTGAAAATGTTTTATACTAGACAAACTACAAATCAATTAGGGCAAGCCTGTTTCTACCTTATGACCTTTACCCTTGCTGGAAATGTCTACACTTGAATCTTCATGGCTTGAAATTGGAATGAGGCCCAAAATCCTGGGGTAACCCATGGAAGTGAAGGGCCAAAGGACCAAGGACTACTTTCTCTTTAAGGAGTTCTATTATGAGAGAGATGGGCTTAGTACTAGCTATTTACTTCAGGCTTTGCCAGAACCACTTTTGCTGACTGGAAGGCTCTCTGCTCTTCTCGTGTCTGATTTGCTTTAGTAATAAACAAATAACCTCTGAAATTTGTAGCACTAACCAAACTAATAATTTCTTAGGTTCTTTGCTTCCCATAGAAAGGAAACAAAGTGAAGCTTAGGCTCATGCCATCACAATGGTAAGACACGCAGAGCGACTTCAAGAGCTTAGCAGGCCTCAGTGTGGCAGGAAACGCTCTGGGAAGGAGGAAAGAACAGGCTGTCCCCTGTCCCCGAAGGGCCCAGGCTAGGGGAGGAGCTGGCTCTCTGGAGCTTGGTCCACTAAGACAGGGTCTTCCTTTCTGGAGCCTGTCTGAGCGGATCCGGTTCTGGAGGACTCGTCATCTGACGGCGAAGGAAGGGTGCTTCGCAGAACCACGGAGAGTCTCCGTTATCCTGGCACCAGGCATAAAACAAGGGTGCTGAGCGTCACCCTGTGATTTCTGCAGCAGCTGTGGAGTGTTTCCGATGATTTGTCCAAGTCATTTTACCTTTCCCATTCGTTCCCACTGGTGCTGATGTAGAACAGGCTGGAGCAGTGGGTGGATGTGAGCTCATATTTAATACTGACCACATGGACCTTACAAAAAGGAAGGCTAGACCAGTGCAGCTCACTTCGAAGTTTGATCTGACTGAGGAGAGCCTCACTTTCGTGTAAGTCACTGAAGACAAGGAAGAGAAAGTAGGAACAGGAGCTGTGACTCTGGACTGGCTGGGAAGAGAAGCAAATTGTAGTGTTTTCTCCCAGTCCTCCTCAGGTCCGTTCTCCCCAGACTCCTCGCCTAGCTCTCAAAGCTGTTTTTGATAGTGAATATTAAGGAATAAAGGTTTAATATTAAGGAATATTAAGGAATAAAGGTTTCATACTTATATTCTTAAGTGAGATCTTTATCTTTTAGCTATACATTAAAATATTTACAGATGAAATTATATAATATGAGAGATTTGCCTAAAATAAGAAAGCGGACAGGGAGGGGAGATTTGGGTGATATAACACCGGCCACATGCTGGTAGCTGTTTCAGCTGGGTGATAGGTGCGTGGGCATAGGGGTGTTCTACTGATCGACAGATTTATACGCTTCAACGTGTTTCAAAATTTCCGTAATAAAAGTTTACTTTTAATCTCAGTGTCCCTGCATGATCCCAGCCGGGCCTGCTCCTCTTGCCACCCGTCTTTAAAGACTTCCCCAGCAGTTG